AGATGGATTGGCCAAGTGGCAGCCTGCTTCTTACTTGGGTCAAACTCAGATGCATAAGAGCTTTGGTTGCTATGCAGTGCTCACATGGTCTTTGTTTCCCCTTGGCCATGACTGAACTGTTTTAGACTGATTTATAGCCCTGGGTTACATACTTTATAAATGGTGGTGGTTGTTGTTGTTAAAGTGCCATCGAGTCAGTTCGAACACATAGCGACCCTGTGTAGGGTTTCCAAGGAGCAGCTGGTGAACTTGAACTGCCAACCTTGCAGGTCAAATGGCTTTGCAATCTGGCGCATTAACCCACAGCACCACACCAGGACTCCTTATAAATGGTAGAGCCAAGGATTATCTCTCAGCCCCCAAAGCCTTTGCCTTATCCCGGCATTGTAGGCACAATGTTTGAGACCAAAAGAAAGCCCTTGCAACTGGAGGGGAGGAAGGTTTATGGAGGAAGCTAAAGACAGAACAGAGTCTTTGGGTGGTACAAGCAATTAACACACTCAGCTACTAACTCAGAGGTATTGAAGATTCAGATCCACCCAGAGGTGCCTTGAAAGAAAGGCCTGGCTATCTCCTTTCAGAAACTGGCCATTGAAAACCCTGTGTAGCACAGTTCTACTGTGACACACATGGGGGCAGTCTTGAGCCAGGAGACGACCCCACAGCAGCTGGAAGGATAGGAAGGCTGAGCTACCCCTGGTTGCAGAGGGCCTAATTTTCCAGGATGGGTGACTAGAGCTTTTGTAAGTAAATGGTCAGAGTACGGACTCCGTCCCAGCTGCCTGGAGCTCTGTCTGGCTGACACCCAGGGAAGCACAGGACTTCGCACGGCTGCAGGGAGATCAGAACCCCCAGACTTGCTGAGAATGGGACGTTAAGCAGATCTGTGGCTTATACAAACAAGCCCTTGCCTTCCAACGCAGCATCTCCGGCTCCTGTGCACTGCCCTGGGGCCGCACCAGGACCCACTTCCCTCGGCCTCCTGATCTGACCTCCTCTGATGTGGCTTGTGAAGAGTGGCTGGAAAATTCCCAAGGTTGGGTGGTGGGGATGTGTCACGGGTGATGTGCATGTAGCTCAACCTGCCCCCTCCCAGAGCCCACCTCCTAGGCACAGATTGGCTCAGGGGGTGCCTGTGGGGTTTGACTCATGGCCACCAGTTACTTCAGGCCGGGCTGGATCTCTCGGGGCTGGACGTGTGTCTATGGACATGTCATCATGCTGTGTTTCTCTGTGCCCTGTCCTGTCCAGGTCATTGCCGTGGTCATGGACCTCTTCACTGATGGCGACATCTTCCAAGACATCGTCGACGCTGCCTACAAGCGCCGAGTCCCTGTGTACATCATCCTGGACGAGGCAGGCGTCAAATATTTCCTGGAGATGTGTCGGAGCCTGGAGCTCACCGACTTCCGTTTGCGGGTATGTTACACCGCAGAGGACAGGAGAGGTTCCCCCGGCCCCTCTCTCTGCCTCCTCCCCAGTGCACTGCTCAGGGGAGCTGCCATGCCTTGTGAGTGAATGACCACGGAATCACATGACCAGCTTAGATTTTTCTCCCAATATAGCGAGACTCAGCCCCGGGTGCTGCAGAATCTCTGAGTCCACTGTGGTTGTCGTCTGGGGACCCTTGGGAACAGGCAGGAGCCACCCTGGGCTCATCCACACCCAAAGTGAGATTGTGTGGCTCCCTCTCACTCTCCAAATGGGGTTTATGTCGGGTGGGCCTTGGTACACAGAGATTCAGTGAGGATGGGCCCAAGGACAAGCAAGGACTTGGTTCAAACTAGGTGACTGTCCTTTCTCCTCAACAGAACATCCGTGTCCGCTCTGTGACAGGTGTCGGCTTCTACATGCCCAGGGGGAAAGTCAAAGGGACCCTCTCGACAAGGTTCCTGATGGTGGATGGTGAAAAAGTAGCCACTGGCTCCTATAGGTGAGTTGGTCCAGGTCACACTGAAGCCACCAAGGTCTTAGTTCGACAGGCATCATCTGACCTATTGGTCAGTAAACGTCCTGGTTCTGGATTATTTCAGAAAGAGAGTCAACCCATGTCTTCTAAGCATTAAGCACTAGAGTTTCCCGTGGGGTAAGTAATTCATGGGCTGAAGTCTACTCAGATGTGCTTCCGAGCAAAGGCCAGGCAGACTACTTCTGAAAACTCCGTTCTTGAAAGCCCCATGGAGCCCAGTTCATTTCACACCCCTGGAGCCAACAGCGCCTGGCAGACATTTCATGGTCCACAGCAGCCAACTGTATTTTGAGGCTAGTTGCTAGGTGAGACATGCTGGAAGTAGAAAGGAGCAGATCTGGGTGAGCACCGTGAACGTGTGGCATAGGGGGAGGGGTGGCCAGGATCCTGGCTCAGAATGAAATTTCCAGGAGCATGTGGGCCTCTAACTGTGGAAGACCCTGCCCTCCCAGTCAGTTCAAATCTACATGAGCAGAAGAGGCCTGGTCACATGGAGCAATTAATAAAGGACATCAAGTCCTCATGCTTGGCTAAAGTATGGGATTTTGCCGGTACTTAGGGCTCTAAAAATCCCAAGAAGGACCAGTAAGTGATGGAGTGACAGTGACGACAGTAGCAGCTACAGTTAACTATTTATTGGATGTGTCTGTGCCAGGGATGAGCTCAGTGTTTTAGACAAATGAGTTACTTGAGTCTCCTGACAACTCTGGTTGTTGTTGTTAGGTGTCAACGAGTCGGTAACGACTCACAGTGACGCTGCGCACAACAGGACAAAACCCTGTCCGGTCCTGCACCAACCTCACTGTCATTGTTACACTCAAGCCCACTGCTGCTGCCACTGTGTCAATCCATCTCATTGGGGGTTTTCTTCTGTTTCACTGACCCTCCACCTTACCAAGCATGATGTCCTTCTCCAGGGACTGGTCCCTCCCGATTATATGTCCAAAGTATGAGAGACAAAGTCTGGCCATTCTGACCTCAAAGGATCATCCTGTCTGTACTTCTTCCAACACAGATATGTTTCTTCTTTTGGCAGTTTAATATTCTCCTCCAACACCATAACTCAAATGCATCAAATCTTCTACAGTCTTTTTCATTCTCTGTCCAACTTTGACATGCATATGAGGTTATTGAAAATACCATGGCTTGGATCAGGCGCACCTTAGTCCTCAAATTGACATCTTTGCTCTTCAACACTTTAAAGAGGTCTTGTGCAGCAGACTTGCCTAATGTAGTATGTCATCTGATTTCTTGATTACTGCTTCCTTTAGTGTTGATGGTTGATCAAGCAAAATGAAGTTTCTGACAACTTCAATCTTTTCTCCATTGATAAGAATGTTGTTTATTGATCCAGTGGTGAGGATTTTTGTTTTCTTTAATTGAGATGCAACCCATACCAAAGACTGTGATCTTTGATCTTCATCAGTAAGTATTTTAAGTCCTCTTTGCTTTCAGCAAACAAAGTTGTATATCATTTGCATATCACAGGTTTTTAATGAATCTTCCTCCAATCCTCTTCATATAATCCAGCTTCTCAAATTGTTTGCTCAGCATACAGACTGAATAAGTATGGTGAAAGAATACAACACTGATGCACACCTTTCTCGATTTTAAACCATTCAGTGTTTTCTTGTTCTGTTCAAACAACTGTCTCTTGGTCTATGTACAGGTTCCTCATGACACAATTAAATGTTCTGGAATACTCATTCTCTACAATGCTGTCCATACCTTGTCATGATCCTTATAATTGAAAGCCTTTGCAGAGTCAATAAAACACAGATAAACATCTTTCTGATATTCTCTGCTTTCAGCCAAGATCCATCTGATGTCAGCAATGATATCCATCATTCCACATCCTCGTGTGAATCTGGTTTGAACCTCTGGCTTGAACCCTGTGAATGTACTATTGCAGTCGTTTTTTAATTATCTTTAGAAAAATTTTACTTGCATGCGATGTTAATGATGTTGTCCGATGATTTCCACGTTCCATTTCACCTGTCTTTAGAATGGGAATAAATATGGATCTCTTCCAAACAGTTGGCCAGGTTGCTGTGCCAATTTTGTTGGCATAGATGAGAGAGTGCCTCTAGTGCTACATCAGTGTGTTGAAAGATTTCAATTTATATTCCATAAATTCTCGGTGCCTTGTTCTTTGCCAATGCCTTCACTGTACCTTGGACTTCTTCTTTTGTATCATTGGCTCTTTATGCTACCTCTTGAAATGGTTGAACATCGACCACTTCTTTTTGATACAGTGACTTCTGTATTCCATCCTTATTTTTTTTTAAGCTTTTATTGAGTGATAGTTACATGGGAGAACATCGGTTTTGCTCTCATCCTATTGTGTTTTGTTTCATTGCAATAATTACAGTCCTCTCCAGACATCATCATTTAGCAGTATTTGCTTCTATTTCTTCTGTTGTTTTGTGAGTCTGTTTGTTTGTTTGTTTGTTTTTGGTGTACACAAAAACACTCAGGAATATATAAGCATCTAAACAACCAAAGGGTGAATTCGGCAAGCCAGTCTTCTGGCTGCCTGCACACAGTCTTTCTCTTTCTGTGAGTCTAGAGACCTCAGCTGCTCTGTCTCTCCATGCTATCATCTCTGCCTCCATCTCTGGTGTTGCTGCTTCTCTGGTTAGGATCCCATGCTCCATTCATGCTCTTCCCTCTTAATGATCCTAGGGACCCTCTGTTCTTGGAATGTAAAATTAACAACTCCCTCCTTTTTGTTATAAAACTTCTACCTTTACAGTTGTAATAGTCACAATCAGTCATGATAACAATTACTCACTATTGAATCAAAATACTCTTATCCCCATCTCCTTTCACCAGATCCGTCTAGACAAAATGAAAACTATTCAGTGGGATTTCTACCTTCCCCTGCACACTCTGAAACTAAACTCCTTCTTGAAACCTTGTAAGCCAGCCACTTCATGCCTTTATAACCTCCTAAGGAGCTCTGGTAGCATAGTGGTTACGAATCGGGCTGCGAACCACAAGGTCAGCAGTTCAAAACTACCAGCTGCTCCGTGGGAGAAAGATGAGGCTTTCTGCTCCCGTTAAGATTTACAGCCTCGGAAACCCTGTACAGGGTCGCTATGAGTCGGAACCAACTCCACGGCACATAACAACAACAACAACAACAACAACAACAACAACCTCCGCTTTAGATAGCCAGTGTCTCAGTTGCCACTCCCTATCAACCCTATACCGACGGGATGGGCTAGATCCTTGATGTGAAGACTACTACATCCATAAGTATAGGTCAAGCTTATCAAACTGTAGCAATTTACACTGGCTTCTTTTATCACATTTCTTTATCTTCTTCTAGTCAAGCTCTGATCATGAAGCCATCGAAGCTAGGTCAAAGGGGTACTGTCTGCAAGTTTGGGTATTCATGTGCATCTCCCCCACACACACACTTCATATCAGCTGGACACTTCACTGTCAGATCTAGCCCTCCATGGCTAGGTCAGTGTCCATGGACTCAGGAGTCCCCAAGGCTCCCCAAACTTCAGACCAAGCAGCCCTTCCTCTTCTTTCTCTCATCTCAAGGTCAACAGGAGTCTATGGAATGTGGCTGAACTCAGCCCATATCTTCATTACTGTCTTTCTCCTACTTCCACTCACATGTAGAATAACATGGTTGTCAGCAAGCTTACATGCCTGCTCATGTGTTCCCTTTGAGTTTCAGTCTTGGGGAGTGAGGGACAGTTGTCCTGAAGGGACTTGATTGCTTGCCTCTATGGCTCCCTGGCAAACAGCTTGCTTGTTCTTATAATAGCCAAACAGACTGCCGTTTTGTTTTTTTCTGCTAGTCCATCCATCTTCTTTTGATGCTTACTGCACCATTCAATAGTTGGACCATAGAATCCTTCAGTATTTCAAGTCGAGGCATGAATTTTTTCTTCAGTTCCCTCAGCTTGAGAAATGCTGAGCAAATGGAAGAAATGAAGAGGTAAAAGAGCTGAACAGAAAATTTCAAAGGGCAGCTCGAGAAGACAAAGTCAAATATTACAATGAAATGTGCAGAGACAACTGTGGAAGAAACAGTAAATATCAGAAAATCTAGGCCTACCTATCCCTGCCTTCCCCCGCCCCACCTCTGCCTGTCTTCCTTCTGTGAGACCTACAGGTGAACATCAGGAGGACTGCGGCCGGTGGAGGTGAGCGTCCACTATGAGTCTAGAGTCTAGCTCAGGGGATGGATCAGACTGTGTGGTGGAACCTTAGAGTAGGCTTGCTGCGGAGCTGCTGACAGCAGGCTTAGGCAGCAGCCCTGCACTCATAAGTCTTGCTTTTCCCCCCATGTCCACAGTTTCACCTGGAGCTCCTCCCACGTGGACAGGAACCTCCTACTCCTGCTGACTGGGCAGAATGTGGAGCCCTTCGATGTGGAGTTCCGAGAGCTGTACGCCATCTCCGAGGAGGTGGACTTGTATCGGCAACTGGGCCTGGCAGGCGGGGCCAGCAAATTTGGCCTCAACTACTCCTCCACTGTGGCACGCAAGCTCATCAACCCCAAGTACGCCTTGGTGTCAGGCAGCCGCCACCCGCCCGGGGAGATGATGCGCTGGGCCGCCCGGCAGCAGCGGGAAGCTTGTGACAATCTCGAGGGGCAGCAGGAAGGCAGCGAAGGTGGCGAGTCGACCCGGCGCCTGGAGAGCTTCCTGAATGACCTGGTGAGTCTGGATCAGGTGCTGCCTCCTGTGGATCCTATTCCCATGGAGAGACGGAGCCGGAAGGCTGGCAAGGTGCCCACGGACCTCAAGTCCCAGGAGACACTGGACCGGAATGGCAAAGGAGATGCCGCCAACGGGGAGGCCACCACGGCCAAAGAAGGCAAGCGCTTTGGCAGTGGGATCTTCAGTCGACGGGTCAAGAAGCCAGTGGCATCCAACGGCATGGCCAGCTCCTTCACCGCTGAGGCCTCTGCTGATGTGGACTTTAGGCCCACCGAGGACTCCAGCACTAACCTCTCAGGTGAGACACCTCGTCCCTTGGCCTCGCACCTGCCCTTGACAAGGAGAGCCCAGTGGCTGGCCCTGGGGTCAGACAGCTGCAGTTCCTGTGCTGGCTCTGCTCTTACCTGCAGCTCTGAGTGTCCGTCTCTTCTCTGCTCCTCTCCTCTGTGGCTGGGCCTGGTACCATCTGGGAGTGTCTGTCTCCTCTTCTCTGCTCCGCTCCTCTGCGGCTGGGCCTGGCACCATGTGGGAGCTGTGTGTCCTTCAAGAAGCCCTTTGCGAGCCGCTCACGTCACCATGCAGACAGACCTTCTCAGGTTACTGCGCTTCACAGATAAAGTGTTTTTTTTACAAATGGACACTCAGTGGCAAGCCTGAGTTGAGCATGTCTACTGGCACCATTGTCCTAACCCCGCGTGCTTACTCCGTGTCTCTGTGTCCTGTTTTGGTCACTTTTAACCACATTTCAGACTTTTTCATAATGCTACCGATAACACTTCATTGCTGTTGTCAAGTACTGTCGAATTGGTTCCGACCCATAGCGACCCTGTCTAGGATTTCCAAGGAGCAGCTGGTGAGCTTGAACCGCTGACCTTGCAGTTCAAACGGCATTGCAGTCCGGCGCATTAACCCACAGCGCCACACCATAGACAGTAGTATGTTGTGAGGTGCTGTCGAGTTGGTTCTGACACAGAATCAACATGCCTTCTGTAAGCACTGGCAAACCCAAACAGTCCCTGTGATTGTATTGTGATGCTGGCTTTATTACAGCAGTCTGCAATGGAATTAGAAAAGTGCTTCTTTGTAAGTGGGGAAAGAGGAGCCCGGTGTAACCAAGGAGCATAACTGAGGCTCCACCGCAGAGGTCCAGGGTTCTCTGCGGCTCCCATGTCCCTGGCTGCTTCCCAGCCTTCAGGTAGCGAGTGCCCTGACTTGCTCCACTCACGTCAGCCATCTGACACCCAGCCCGCGTGGCGTTTGCTATGCTGTTTCTCTCCCAGGGAACACGGCTCGCCTGCTCTCAGGAACCCTGTCTGGACAGGCTCTTGCTCAGAAGAGATGGGTGGTGACAGCCAGGGCCCCTGCCAGTGCCTTTTCTCAGCTCAGCATCCAGTGCTGGGATTTCTGCTCCCCTGGCTGTGGGACTTACAGTGCTGAGAACTGGCCCTCCACACTGGCCAGGCAGGTGGTAGCTGGACCCATGTTCCCATCCTGGGCAGCCTGAGCGCTCCTAAGACTCTGGGTCCAGTAGGAGCCTGTGCTGTCCCTCATTCAGCCACCAGGTACTTACTGAGGCCTCAGAGGGTGGGTACTGATGAGGTGCTCCCTCACTCTCACCCTTGGAGCCATGGAGGGAGGTGGTGGAGGGAACCCTGAGAGGGGATTTAGTGGTCATAGATCCCATGTCCTCTGAGGGGAGGGTAGCCAGCCTCCCCCGACCTCTCCTGGTGCTGGATGCTGTGCTGCACCTCCCATTTGGCGAAAGGGTTGCCATAGTGAACACCTGGCAGGGTAGGAAGAGAGGCAGCCCAGCCACAAAAGGGGCCCGTCCCCAAATCCTGACTGGAGGTGGAAGTAGAAGCATTCTCTACAACCCCCTCACCCTGAGGTACCGTTTCCATAGAAACAAAAGGCCCACTGTCTTGTCCCTCTCCTGTCCTGTGTCTCCTGGCTCTGGGTTTTCCTGCTTGAAGACTTGAATTGCCACTGTCGCTGCTGCTGCTACCCTCCCAATGTCTGCCCACCATGCCCAGGAGCTAGCCACGCCACCCAGACACCAGACCGAGTGTGAAACAGACAGACGAACAAACAAATGCAAGGGTTCCCTTGCACATAGGTCAGGGAGCTGCCAAAACCCCAAGACCCCCTGGTCTTTCTCCATCCTTTACCCATCCTTCACAAGGAGCCCCACCCAGCACAGACTGAGCCCTGAAATTTGAGCCCCTCAACTTTGCTTTTTTGTTACCCCAAACGCCAGGGCCTGGGGTGAGGGGCAAGAACTCTTCTCTCCCAAAGCCTTTTTAGTGATGCAATCTGTGAACACACTCCACTGCTAACCAAAACCTTGGAGGCTTGAGTCCACCCGAGGCACCTCGGAGGAAAGGTCTGGCAATCTAAGTCCAAAAAAGGAATCATTGAAAAAGCCATGGAGCACTGTTCTGCTCTGACTCACACACACACCAGGGTCACCCACCATGAGTCGCACTCAACCCCACAACCACTGGTTAACTAGTTAGCCTCTCAAGTGTGTGAATGGGACTTGTCTGTTTCAGGGGCTCCCTCCAGCAGCCGGAGCTGAGCAGTCAGAACTCCTGTAAAGGGGATTCGGACTTCTGACAGCTCCGGGACCTGAACTCAATTCACTCTCCTACAAGCTTGAACTCTTCTCTTTAGCTTTTCCTGGAGGGCCCCTGTTCTGGGAGGGCCCCTTCTCCATTGTGGACATTCAGAGCATCCTCAAAACAGCCATCCTGTCCATTTCAGCCAGGCCCTGGGCACCTCCTTTCCACTCTCTGAACCCATTTCCCCTCTAGAAGAGGAGAGTGGAGCTGAGGCCCCCTCCAAGCTCGGGTCTGTCTCTGCCCACAGCCCATACTGCCCTTTCTATCTCTGCTGCTCTCTTGTCAGAGGAGAATGTGGGTTGGTAACAAAGTGCGTAAAAGAGAAAAATAGAAAATGCTCAGAGCTGACAGCCTGTAAAATTGCTTGATAAGTACAGAGTTGTCAAACAGCATGCAAATATTTGTGAACCCAGGTGTGGCCCCTGGGAGAACCTTGAGGATTTCACTTCCTTAGAGCTGGTGATTCAGGCTTGAGGCTGCCTTGCAATTTGAGGGCTCACAGCTCCCTCTAGTGGCGCTGCAGGATAAGCACTAGACTGCTAACAGTGAGGCAGTAGTTCAATCCCACTACCACCTGCTTCTCAGAAATGCTTTACAGGGTGATTAGGAGTCTGAACCGACTCAGTGGCATGTAGCAACAACAGCTCCCTCTAGTGGTAAAAGCTAAGACTCCACTTCCCTTTTTCCTCTTCACTCAGCTGGAACTTTGCTCCTTGTTCAGCTGTCTTCTCAAGTTTGCCCCCTGCACCCTCAGGGAGCTCAGGACAGACCCTGAGGGTAGAGATCTCAAACCTCAAGGGGCAGCAATCCCAGGAGGCACTTGTTAAAAAGCCCCCACCCTTGCAAAGGATCTGGCTGGCTGGGCTCAGGAATCTGCACGTTACACAAATACCCTGTGTGTACCCAGCTAGGAATCCCAGGCAACACAGCAGAGACTCAGTGGACCCAGCTCTCAGGTTGCTGCAGACTGGCCTGTTTGCTTCCATCACACAGCCCTTAGGACACTGGGTAGGAATGGATGCTTTGAGGATAGAGACCAAGGTTCCTTTTACTTTACCATGTTGGCATAGTGCCTGGCACTGACTACCAGACTAGATTCTCTGGAGATGTGTCTGGAACCACTGAATGAGTGAATGAATGAATGAGTCAAGGCGGTGAGTTAGTTGGTTGTCAAATACTATCATGGGCAGGAGCGTGACTTGCCCCCCACCCCCCGGGGGCTTGGATGGGATGGCACTGGGGAGGTAAGGCACAGTGCAGTGGGACCCTGGCAGAGGCATTCTCAGAATCCTGCTTCCCATCCCCTCTACCCTCTTGTCTGAATGAGTCAGCCCTGCAAGCATCGGCAAGGGGATCCCAGGTAGCCACTGTTCTAGTCCAGGCTCAGGAAGTGCTCTGCCTTTTCTGGTGACCTGATGGGTCCCCCCAGTGCATGGTAGTCTGGTAGACACCTGGGCTGCTCACCAAGCAGGATGACCACTGGGAAATGGCCACCTTTCTGAAGAGAATTGCAAGACAAAAGGAGACAACAATCTCCTACCGAGCTGAGCTGCCACAGGAAAGAGCCAAAGCCAGTTGCAGTCAAGTGAATTCCGACTCCTGGTAACCCATGTGTGTGTCAGAGGAGAGCTGTGCACCATAGGGCTTTCAGCGGCGGTGGCCTTTAGGTCGGTCACCAGCCTGTCATCTGAGGCATCTCTGCGTAGATTCAAACTGATGGCCTTTCCTGCTAAGTAGATACAGACCCACGGAGTCCTGATAACAGTCCCCCACAAACAGCCCCGAGGTTCCGAGAGGTGAGCCCTATGTCCCCGTCCCCGGTGATCCAGTGAGAAAAGGACAGTGTGCTCAAGGGAGGTTTAGGCTTGGCACCATTCCCCTATATCACTGAAGACTGTTTGGGGAACCAGGGGCCCAGACGTATGACTGACTCTCTCCTCTGATGTCCCACAGTGTCCCACCAGTGAGAGGAAGAGAAAGTGTGGCTGCTGACTCCCCAGGGCGTACCCTGGATTGGTACTTTCCTTCCCAGAATTCCCTGAATTCCTGTGACTATTGCTTTTCCAGGATTCTCTCACACCCCACTGAGCCATGCATAGATGGCAGCATGGTCTGGCCCCTGGGCTCCTAGATGCCGGGACCTCAGGCTCTGGCTTGTCATCCCTGGGAGCAGGAGGCCTTGGGTGGGGATGTGCTTCCTGGACTCAGAGCCTCTTCAGATCCAGGGCAAGTCTGTTCCAGAGCTGCACGTCAGGACTGGATCTCACAGTTGAGCGTTGTCCTAAGGAGTGGAGTCAGGCCCCAACTGGCATTTGGAGGCTGCAATCTGAGCCGCGTTCTTCTGGACGCCCAGCACTGAGGGGAGGGGGCGAGCACCCTTTATGTGACAGTCTCACTCCCAGTGTCACCCACTCACGGAAGCTTTACTTCCCCTCCTAAGCCTCTCTTGGCTATCCATTGCACACAGGCATTGCAAAATAAGGTTTTTGCCTGTTTATGGTTTTGAAATCCCTGGGTGGTGCAAATGGTGAGCATGCTCAGCTGCGATCCGAGAGCTTGGTGTTTTGAGTCCATCCAAGAGGCGCCTTGGAAGAAGAGCCTGGTAATCTAGACAGCTCCAGAAAACCAGCCATTGGAGACCCCGTGGAGCACAGTTGTACTCTGACACACGTGGGGTTTCTGTAAGCCAAAATCGACTCAGCAGTATACAGTAACCAAGATTAAACCCCTTGCCACCAAGTCACTTCCAACTCGTGGTGATCCAACAGGGCAGATTAGAACTGCCCCAGGCTATAATCTATGGACGCAAACGGCCACACTTTTCTCCTGTGGAGCAGCTGGTCAGTTTGAACTGCCAACCTTTCCATTTGTAGGAAAGCACTTGACCCCTGCACCACCAGGGTGCCTTCTGGGCCGGGTTACGTGCCTCCCGACTGCTGTGGCCTCTGAGGAGGAATTTAGCATTTGCTTAGTGCCCACACACACCTGCCATCCAGTCAGTGCTGACTCATAGTGACTCAGGACAGGAGCCCGAGGAGTGGCTGGTAGGTTTGAACTGCCGACCTGGCTCTCAATCCTTAACCCACCACACCACCAGGGCACCTTTTATCTGCTTAGTAGGTGAGCAAGGCTGAGGACATCTGCCCAGCGAGGGACTGTGGGAAGGCAGGATTTCACCAGGGCTGCCCAGTTGCAGCAGACAGAGCACGGTGCCATGCTGAGGGAGGGGACAGTGCTCCTGAGCCCCAAGCCCTGGACACGCACCATCTACATTGCCCCTGCTCTCCTCTAAGACCCCCTGCCCTAGCCCTCGGGGTACTCTGTGGCCTGGTGGAGGGGCGGGGCTGCCAGCTCCAGGGCTCAAGTCTGCGCCTGTTTGGTGTCTCTCCTGCTAATGACCTGGAAGGGGAGCAGACACCACCTTAATTAAATTCACAGTTGAAGTGATACTGGAAGGTGGTGTGACCACAGGGAGACAGCCCTCGCTTTGCTGAGAACTGGCAGAAAATAGCGCGGGCAGGCTCCACCTGGGAAAAGAGCTCTTGGCTTGATGACATGGAGTTTGACGCCCAACACTGGACACCCTACCAGCAGAAGGTGTTAGTGGCTGCCACGGTCAAAGAACAGGGGTCCATTTGGGATTGTCCAGAAAGTAGAACTGTGTTGTGGGGGCCTCGGGGAGAGGGGGAACTGGGCTCAGAGAAGAACTGCTTTCTCTTCTATCTCCCCTCCCCATGAAGTGTGGCCCTGTATCTTCCGCCTTCGAACTGCCCCTAAACTGTCCCTCGGGCAACACTGCTCACCCCTCCGTGAGGAGCAGACTTTTCCTCCATTACCACCTGGGCACTGGGTGTGGGAAGGAGCTGAGGTTTCGGATTTAGAAGACAAGAGGCTGGCACTGATCCCACGGACTAAAAATGCCCTCAGCTATAAAATGACCAGCAAGGCCCGTTGCACAGCTGTGCCAGCTGTGAGGACAGCATTCGAGAATGATCCTAGTTTGTTTCCTAAGCTGTGAGGCTGCATAGAAGATGAGCCACTTTTTGGTGAGACTGAAGTCACAAATTGTAGCAGCTGGTTCCTGAGTCCTTTGCCCCCAGTGAGACTAAGAGATGGCAACTATGACTCTCCCTGCTTTTTACAGAAAGACAGGGGAAGTTGCTGGCTGCCTGGGTGGTGCAAACAGTTAAGCACCAGGCTACTATCTGAACGGTTGGTGGTTTGAATCCACCCAGAGATGCCTCCTATGAAAGATCTGGCAGTCTTCTCCCAAATGGTCATGGCCGTACCGTAACTGGACCCCCGAACAACTTGTGTAGTGATGGTTGATTGGGAACCTAAATTGCTGTGGAAACCTTCACTAACAATTATTTTTTTAAAAACAAACAATGGAGCACAATTCTACTCTGACTCGCAAGAGTCAGAGCTACTCAATGGCAACTAGTTCCGTTTTTGTTTTGGTAAGTCACTAAGGAGTGGCTACCAAACAGTGGGGGAATCTCTCCTACTTCCCAGGGATCAACCTGGCCTTGAATTCATGGTATGGGCACTTAGAGCTTCATTCTGTCTTACCTGTATTTCTTGTCTTCACAGCTAAAGCTGCTTCCAATCCTGCCAAGCCCCGAAACTGTGTGATTTCCTGAGCTGGGGGACAACGTGGGGCCACAGCCAGGGGGCTTGAGACTGGCTTCTCACCCCCTGTCCTTGGGAGAAGTGCCTATTTGTACGCTGGAGCCCTACAGGTCTGTCTGCATCCCAGACATGAGGGGGCACCTTCAGCATCTCAAGACCAACTCATGCTCCACAAACATCTCTGCCCAGCAGGGCCCACCACCTCTTTGTTTACATGAAATGGCTCCTTTCTGCCCAAACCCCTCCCTCCACTGGGCTGGTCCTATGTGCCTGCGGCTACCTTGCAGGAAGAGGGAGGTATCCTCTGCCTCCATGTGATGGGGCCCAGGCCTCCTTGACTGTTGCCTACTGCAGGCCTCTATGGGGGGTTCTTAGGGTGCTTTCATCTAGAGCTGCCACCCTCACCCCAAGGCAAGGAGAGGGCGTGGAAGAAGTGGTGGGAGAGGCTGGGCCTTGTACACTGAACTGTTTGCCCTGGTCCCTGGGGGAAGATCCCAGCTCCTCTTCACCAGCCTTACACTTCAGCCAAAGACCAGGCTTTACCTCCTGCCAAAAGGCAGGCTGATTTGGGAGCCTCAGCCTCCTGCCAGTCAGGTGGGCCACGCTGATGCCACGATGGCTGAGAGACGGGCTGAAACGCCCATACTCTCCGCTCCACTGAGAGACAGACGTAGGGGAATGGACAATGGAGAAATTGCCCAACTGCAGGCTCTCTGACCCAGAACCAAGCAGAGGGTGAGGGGACAAGAGTGCCCAGAGAAGGATGTGGGCTTTCCCAGTTGGTCACATTGGAGCCAAACTTCTGTCTTCATTTCTTTTCTTCTGAAAAAAACACACCGTCAGCACCCTGGGTAGGGGCACAGATGTCTGCAAGGCAGCTGATGGGGAGAACAAGTGGTCCTGAGGCTTGGCTGGCTCAGGGAAGGGTCTTCAAGAACACAGGAAGTGGGCGCTCACCATGCACTTACTTCAGAAGACCCTGAGCACTCGCCGAAGGGAGGGGAGGGGAGGTTCACTTCCTGGGTATGAGAGCAGAAGGTACAGACCCCTACCAACCCACCTCCCTGAGCGTCTGTGAAGATTAAATGCTTCCTATGCACCAGGGACATCAGCGTAGTGTGTGCTTATTCCGCAAAGGAAGGAAGGGAGATGGGGTAAGGTCTCAGCCCAGTGCAGCTCATCAGACCAATGGTCACCTCCAGAATCTGGAGAGTGTGGGGCCCCAGACAGCTACGCTTCCAGGGAAGGAGCGACCTCATCTACACGTGGAAGGCTTCATGCCAAGTCCCACATAGGAGAAGCAGGCCGTTACCCTCTCCTGTCCCAGAAGGCCCTGTCCTGCCCTTGCCCTGCCACACCACCCAGAAAGATTCTGGATTGGAAATCCCACTCGCAACAGCCTGGAGTCTGACCTGTCTCCATTTCCCCATGTGTCAAGATAGGGTATCTCTTCATAGGAGGGGAGTGAGGAGGAGAGACCCAATGTTTCCGTGGAAGCAACTCCATGTATTTGAAAAGGTGTCCCTGTGCTAGCCTCAGTTTCCTGATCGTTACATAAGTTTGGACAAGCTGGTCTGTGCCCCCACTCCACCTTTGAAATGCTAAGTGTGTTTCCCTGGGAAAGCCTGTCCTGCAGAGGTGACTGAAGACATTGGAGTCATCAACTCCAGTGTTTGCTCAGCTGACATGGCTCAGCCCAGTACCCGTTCCTGCACTTGCACACACTTGGTGGGAGATTTCCTCGTCGAATCTGGTACATCTGGTCTTCCCAGTTGGCTGGCAAGTCCAAGGGTGGATCATGCCCTTGGTCCCTCCACAGAAGCCTGCAAGAGGCTGGTGATACTGAAAGGGCTCCAGAAGGGATGGGAAAGAGACCCCAGTGCTCTCTGCCTCGGTCTAGCATTCCTGCCCCCAGCCTCCACCCCAGCAAGCTGCTGCCTTACACAGGGGAACTCTTGAGTTTGAGTCCAGCTTCTGTAGGTTGTGTGTACCAGCTGATGCTGCCATCTGGGGCAGTCAGTGTCCCAGTGAGCAAAGGTCCCTGAGGGCCCCCATCCTGGCTGCTGCCTCCCGGGATTCTACCCCAGAAAGTGGGGCTGTCCTCTCCCAATGTCTCCTTTTCCCACCTGCCCCATCCCTGCTCTCTCTCCCCTCCCAAACCACAGCCCTGTCCATGCCTCACATCCACTCTCTTTTTCCCTGAAAAGTTTCTAGATGTTAGGGACTATTTTCTCATCATGTAACCTAACACCAAACTAGAGGGAAAAGGGACCCAGGGCTGCAGAAGAATGATGGTGGTAGGTGTGTGTAGGTGGGTGGGGGGCGCAGGAGTTTGGACTTAGATTGGAGTTAGATTAATTGTCCAAGGTGCAGGATGATGCTAAATTTCAGATTGGCATTAGATGTTGAGCACTCATAGATGCTGTTTCCTATAGATACGCCCCCTGCTGGAGACACAATAGTTATGTGTTCAGCTACTAACCAAAAGGTTAGCAGTTTGAACCCACCAGCCAATCAGAACAGAACCCAGAGCAGAAAGATATAGCAGTCCACTTCCGTAAATGGAAACCCTATGGGGAAATTCTATGGAATCAACTCAGTAGCAACCGGTTTTGGGTTGTTTCTCTCTTTGTTTTCCTTTGTTGAGTGCCAACTGTATGCCAGAATGCTTCTTACAAGCCAGGATGGCGAGACTTCATGTCTCATGCTTCAGACATGTTATCAGGAGGGATCATTCCCTGGAGAAGGACATCATGCTTAGGAAAGTTGGGGAGTCAGTAAAAAAGAGGAAAGCCTAGCAAGATGGCGTGACATAGAGGCAGAAGCAATGGGCTCGAACGTAGTAACAATTGTGACAATGGCGTAGAACCGGCAGTATTACGTTCTGTTGTGCATCAGATTGCTGTGAGTGGGAATAATCAACTTAACTGCACCTAACAACTGTACGCTGGATGCTTTAATCAACTGCAAGTTTCAGACTAAGAAGAGCTCAGAATAGGGCTCTTTACAGAGTTAGCATACAGTCTCTCAGATCCCACATCACTGAAATGCACCCCGGGCCTGCTCCTCTGGGATTTCTCAGCCTCAACACTCTGGATACTTGAAGCGGAACTGAGGGCAGAGAATTCTTTGTTGAGGAAGGGACTGTCCCACTCATTGTAAGTTATTGAGTAGCATCCCTGACCTCACCCACTAAGTGTCAGAGAAAACGACCAGAAATGTTTCCAGACATTGCTAAACGTCTCCTGGAAAGTCTGGCTGGAGAGATTGAGATCCTGTGCTATTCACCACACAGCTGAAACTGCGACCTGGTCACTTCCGTGCGCCCCACGCCTCCACAGAGTTATCATCACCTGACAACATGTGGCCCCGGGGAGGTTGGCGGATTTGTCTAAGATTCCACTCTCTGGGACAGATGAAATGGCATCTTCTGTGTCTGCTCTAGTTACCTTGCTTGGCTCTTCACTGTTTCGTACTCCCCAGAACAGGTGTGTTTATGTGCACACATCTGCCTCCATCCACTCAACTCCCTGTCAGATTTCCTCCCAGTCTGCTCCCTTCCTCCGTTGTCAGCTAAAGTCTGCACAGACAGCACCATTGGGCGTTCCTGTGTCCCCACCTCAAAGAGCAGCCAGAGCAGAGAGCAGAGTGTCAGGATCACATTTCTGAATGAACCGCGGCAGGGCTCACTCATCAGCTTATTAGCCGCACTATGAGCATGGATGCCATTCCAGTGGCAGGCGGTTCGGTGCAAACCACGTCTGATGAAGAGGATATGCGCCTGCGCAAGAAGGGGCGTGGCCTGGGGCAGAAGTGAACAGGTGATGGGTTAAACAATTGCTAGGCCAGCTCCAAGGACTGTCAAGTTTAGGCAGGCCACGACATGTCACAGTGCAAGTGGAAGCTTCCACCCTCCCAGCTTCGGAGAGAAGAACGCACTGCTCCCGACCAGCTCTGGCCTGGCAAGATAGCTATACTGTCTGCCCCATACCTGTCTGTTAAATGATTGGAAACCTGTCAGCCACTCAACACTGAAAACCAAAGCAGTTGCCATGGAGTCAGGTGCAACTCGTAGCAATCCCGTGTGTATCCGAGTAGAACTGAACTCCAGAGGGGTTTCAATGACTGTTTTCTTGAAAGTGGGGTGCCAGGCGTCTCTTTCGAGGTGCCTCTGGGTTATCAGCCATTATTTACAGTTTATCAGTCAGTATTAACAGTTTATACCACCCTGTTGTTGTTGTTGTTGTTAAGTGCCGTCGAGTCGGTTCCGACCCATAGCGACCCTGTACAGGGTTTCCGAGGGTGTAAATCTTT